TGGATAATGAGATCTGGGTGATCTCATTTTCTTCTTTGCATCTTCCTATAGTTTACAAAAATAGTCAGTGTTACATGGTTTTATTCGAAATGAAAGTATAATTTTTTTCAGGTTTTTAAAGTAATAAATGGGTTCCAGTTCTAAAATGATGCTGAACTTGTACCACGCCAGGAATCGATCTCAGGTGTTTCTTACCGATGGGCCGCCCGCACCATTGCAAATCTGAGGAAGATGTCCGCAAGCTGTGTTGAAAAACTGTGTGGCGGTTAATTGTAGTTGTCAACTTGACTGGGTTAAGGATGCCCAGATAGCCTGTAAAATATTACTGAGTGTGTCTCTTAGGGTGTCTCCAGAACAAATTAGCATTTGAATCAGTAGACTGGGTAAAGATCACCATTACCAATGCGGATGGGCACCATTACCAATGCGGCTGGGCACCATCCAATCCGCTGAGAACCTAAATAGAACTGTTCAGCGGGTGGGGGCAGACCTGGGGGAACTAGTTTCTCTGAATCCCCACCTCCGCGGAGAAAGCCATTAAGTGGTGCAGCTTTGCGACAATGAGGGTTAAATTCCCCTTTACTGGATGTAAGGCCACCTACCGGGGAGAAAAGACTACATTTCCCAGCCTTCCTTGCGGAAGGTCATCCTGGCCAATGATAAGTGAGCAGTCGGTCACATGGCAGCCGTTTTTGCAAATTTGTCCCGCCTTCGTCCCTTCCTCCATCTGCTGCCTGGAATGCGGCGGAGGAGGAATGGTGGAGGACGAGGACCACACCCAGGGAGGAGTTTGGAAGGAGCCTGCACCCCCAAGGACTTTGAGGCACAGAGCTGCCCCTCCTCCCTGAACAGCCCATCGCCCTCCTCCTTTTGTGTGAGAGGGAAACCAGCTTCTCTTGTTTAAGCCACGGTTTAGTAGCTGTGCTGTTACAGCCGAACCTAATCTTAAATAATTATAGAGCCAAGGGAGGAGGGAAGGCCTGAAGGGGAAGCAGGTCCCCGTGAGTGATAAAACCGCAGAGCATGAGGGGTCTATTGGGAACCACAGGCTGAGGGCGGGGAGAAGAGAGAGGAGCGGGGACAACCTGTGAACCGAAGATCACCTGTCCAGAGGATTTGCAGGCCTGGAAAGAGTTTGAAGGGTCAGACACTGTGCAGCGGAGGGGGGAGGGGGGAGGGGGGACGGGGGACGGGGAATGCTCCAGAGTAATCAGAAGCCAACACAACCACGCATCTGACTCCCTCACCTTTCCCACCCAGGCCGAGGGGGGAGGTGAGGGAGGAATTTTACCGTTAACCCGTTTGGGGGTTTTCATTTCTACCCAGGACTAGACATTCTGATTACCGATCTCAGACCAAATCGGCCACTTAAGTGATCACTAGCTTTAGAGGAGACCAGAGTTAGCAAATGAGGCAGAGTGAGCTCACCGTCTTGGGGCAGAGATGGTCTGCCCCGTCCGCAACCCTCCCACCCCAACCTTCACCCACCCAGCCTCTACCACGTGCCAGGAACTGTTCTAGGTGCTGACACGGGACAGTGAGCAGGGCACCTCGTGGAGCATACATGCTAATGGAGGAGATGGGTGCTACACGGGATACAATTTTTAAATAACCAAGTATGTTATGTAGTGATCAGTGCAAAGGAAATAAAGCTGAGAAAGGGGATAGGAAGTAGGGGGTCAAATTCCCGTTAGGAAGGTTAGGGAAGGCCTCACTAAAAGGCAACATTTCTGTAAAGACTAAAAATGTTAGAGGGGTTGGGATGCCTGGGTGACTCAATTGGTTGGGCGCCTCTTGATTTCAGCTCGGCTCATGATCTCACAGTTCGTGAATTCAAGCCCTGAGTCAGTGGGAGCCTGCTTGGGATTCTCTCGTTCTCTCTCTCTCTCTCTCTCTCTCTCTGTCCCTCATGCTCAGTCTCTCAAAATATATAAATGAACTTTAAGAAAAAAATGTTAGAGGGGCACGGGGAGAGAAAAGACAGCCATGTGTTGATGATGTCACTTACTGGGTACAACCATGTAGTGCCTGCATATGTGTGTCTATGTGTGACAGAATGGGAATTGGCTCCCCAGCCCCCACAGGGTAGAGTGAAGTGTCTGGGACAGAGATTGAATATGAAACTGGGCAGGATGGGCCTCTCAGCCCAGCTCCAGACCTTAAGTATGGCCAAGAATGGGGCCATGTGTCACCAGCCCTGGGCAGCATCAGTGACACCTCCTCTCAGTCTGGACAGCGCTATCTGGGAAGGAGGACGGGCCCCGGAGATTGTACAGTCCCCTGTGTCTGGCCTGTGGCATCAGGGATTGTGGACAGCATGTGACCATGCTCCTGCCTCACCCTAGCCCACTACCTCTGCCATTTTCCATTCCCCAAAAGCAGACAGATCTGATGGGGTTTTTCCAGGCTGGGCCAGTGTCCTCACCCAGCAGGGGCTGTGAGGACAGGGCAGGGACCATTCCTGGACAGTCAGGAGAGATGAGGTGTGTCCCTGAGCCCCCATGGCTGGGGCTGGGGGTCGGGGGTCGGGGAGCAGCTTTGCCAGGAGCAGGCAGAGGTGAGGGTTGGGAAAGTCAGCCATACCCCCACCCCACATCCTGTTTTTGGAATGTGGGGCCCCAGCATGTGCTTTCCTTTGGACTTTGTCCAAGGCAGTGTCTCCCCACCCAGGTCCACTCCCAAGGGAACCCTGCATGACAGTGCGGAGGGTTCCCCACCACATCCATCATTAACCGAGGGTTTTTCCAGGCTGGGCAGGACCCCTGAGCCAGTGTAGGTGAAGGGCACATTTCCCACCCCTCCCTGAAATCAGGCCAGGAGGTCCCTGTCAACACATGGAAAACTATACAGGCCCCCATGGCTGACGGGGAAAGGAAATGTCATGGAGGGGGAGGTTCTTGGCCTCCCCACTCAGAGAGGGGCAGGCGTGTCTGGGCCCACCAGACCCAACCAAAGCCCTGGGGATGGTCAGGCCCCGGAACACCACCTGGGAAGCCCAGCCAAGCTAGAGTGAGAACAGTTCCATGAGGGGCTTAAGCACATGGGCTCCCAACCCATCAAGCCAGGCATGAGACGGGAACTGGCTATTTACTTGCTGTGTGGGCAAGTGGCTTAGACCCTCCCAGTCTCAGCTTCCCTCCTGCCAGGGTCATCAAGAGGATGCAATGAGCTGATTTGTGTGATCGGCTCGGCGCGAGGCCTGGTCCAGAGTGGGTGTACAGGGGAAGGGGAATGGTGTGCGGGTAGGGCAGATTCCTAGAAAGGCCTAGAGGGGATAAACAAGATGTCTCAACCTGAGGGTGTCCCCTCCTCAGCCACTCAGATCACCACGCATCATCCTAACTCTTCCCCTAAGGGATAGCTTCTCCTGCCACCTAGAGTTGTAGAATGTGATTCCGAGCCTTACGAGGGCAGAGAAGTCCTTCTATTCATTTTTCACATTATAAAATAACATGCTTATTAGAACAAATCTGGAAATTATAGAAAAGCAGGAAGAAAGCAAAAGCTTTTATTTAACCACCAGTGCCGAACACTCTTGATGCCTTAATGGTTTCCATGTGGGATTCTTTCCTGGGCACAGGTTGGCTTTGTTCTCCATAATATGGTTGGGACCTTAGCATTAAGACAAGGAAACTTGGGGGTCAGACAGCGCAGCCTCCTCAGCTGACAAGCCAGGAGACTGGGCCCAGAAGAGCTCAGTGACTTGCCTAAGGCCAGTAGTGGCAGAGGTGGAACCAGATCTACTGAGATCTGCTGCCCCCAACGCTAGCACCAAACCCTCCTCCAGCCCTGAAGACTGCCTTCGAAGGTGACAGTCAGTTGCTAGTGGATCTAGGCCTTCCAGTTTGGGGGAGTCTGTTCCATGGGCTTCCGTAGAGTCCCCCTCCCTCAAAAGGGGTGTGGCTCTGGTTAACCCCCACCCCCATTTCCAGAAGGAGACACAGCAGGTGGGATGGGGGAAGGGTGGGTAAGGGATAGAAAGGGAGGGCTGCAAAGCCCAGCAAGGGGCATGGCCTTGTGTACGTTCCCAAGGGTGGAGCCAACCGACAGGGCCACCCTGTCCCTTTAAGAGAAGGGGGAGAGCAAGCCCCTCTTGGCTATTCTGTCCTGTCATCTATCCTGGCCAAACCCAAAAGGGAAAATGAAAGAGGGCCCGGGAGAGTAACAGGTCCCAGCCATCTCCCAGGATCCGTCCCTCAGCTCTAACACCTCAGCTCCAGCCACAGGGTGAGTGGGGTCAGGCTGGGGTCCGGTGGCACGGGGAGCCTGTGGGGCCTGCGTGAGTGTGTTGGGGAGGTTCTCCGGAGATGTGGGAGGCTGGAAGCAGAGGGACACCATGGAGGAGATCGGAGATGGCTGGGCCGCTCAGGAGTGGGATGGCAGGGGACCCCTAGAACAAGGGATAATGACAGAGTTATGGAACTCCCCATTCTGAGAGGAGTTCACTGCAGTAAGAAGAGCAGGAGAAATGGTGGGCAGAGAAGGAAGGAGGTGAGGTCCCTCTGGGTCTGCTGGCTCCCACCTCTCCCAGGTTAAGTTGGGTCTGGACTCCCCGGTTGGAGGTACCACGGTTGCCCATGGAAAGCATCCTTGGGCACGTAAGGGCACCACTGGGCTTCTGGTTCTACAATGCAGTCGGTCTGGCCCTGCCGATGTCAAGTTGATTCCCTACGGATATAGACCCTGGAGGAGCATGGGGTCCAACCAAGCAGGCCCGTGGGGGTCTGGCTAGAGCACCAGGGTGGGGCTCCTCCCCAGCACCTTCTCAGCAAGGAGAAAGGCACCCACAGTTGAGAATCTCCTAACCCCTCCTGCCCCCGCCCCCTTGCTGACTCCCTCGTTCCCACAAAATCCCAGCTAAACCCAGGCCTGAGCCCCTGCCTCACCCCAAGTTAGAGGAGGGCTAGCTAACCTCACCCCATGGGCTAGGGGGCTGGGGGGGGGGCGCTGATCGGTAGCCTCTGACACCGGTCCCCCCCAACCCCCGCGTCCCCAGCGCCATGGGGGAGTGGGCGTTCCTGGGCTCGCTGCTGGACGCCGTGCAGCTGCAGTCGCCGCTCGTGGGCCGCCTGTGGCTGGTGGTCATGCTGATCTTCCGCATCCTGGTGCTGGCCACGGTGGGCGGTGCCGTGTTCGAGGACGAGCAGGAGGAGTTCGTGTGCAACACGCTGCAGCCCGGCTGCCGCCAGACCTGCTACGACCGCGCCTTCCCGGTCTCCCACTACCGCTTCTGGCTCTTCCACATCCTGCTGCTCTCGGCGCCCCCCGTGCTCTTCGTCATCTACTCGGTGCACCGCGCCGGCAAGCAGGCGGGCGGCGCGGACGATGGGCCCGGGCCGCCCCCGCGCCGCCGCTGCTACCTGCTGAGCGTGGCGCTGCGCCTGCTGGCCGAGCTCGCCTTCCTGGCGGGCCAGGCGCTGCTCTACGGCTTCCGCGTGGCCCCGCACTTCGCGTGCGCGGGCCCGCCGTGCCCGCACACCGTGGACTGCTTCGTGAGCCGGCCCACCGAGAAGACCGTCTTCGTGCTCTTCTACTTCGCCGTGGGGCTGCTCTCGGCGCTGCTCAGCGTGGCCGAGCTGGGCCACCTGCTCTGGAAGGGCCGCCCGCGCGCCGGGCGCCGTCGCCAGGCGGCAGAGCGCGACGGCCGCCGCC